ATTATTATTTGGACTGATCTACATAATCAATAATATTTTGAAATTTTAGAAAATCGTTTCTAAATTGTTATTGAGAATAATAATAAATTTTAATTGTTCCCTCAGATCTTCTTCCAATAAAAAATTAGGAAAAGCTTTCATTGAATACTCCTTATGATTGTGATCTGCATATAAATTAAACAGCTAGCCAATGAGAAGATTTTTAACCATGCTGTATTTAATGAGTACATTTTTTTTGGTGGCGGCAGAATATCTTTACATTTGTGTGGCGTTTTTGTTTTGGGGTGATGTACATATATCATGGAATAACAAAAGTCTTTTTTTAAATTAAAAATCACGTGAATTGATCGACTGCTTGAGCTATATCCCACCTCAATTATATCCACAGGGGGATATAAAAGAGGTATGGCATCAGCCTCTTTTCGTGATCAACTTCTGTAAGTGTGTGATCATGATGAAGTTTAGGATGAAAGAAATTAAAATTAACAACAAAGATGACAGAATGCATATGTTATATTAATAATTCAAAATAATTATTTTATTATTTGACATCATTGTTATAATTATCTATTATTATAAATAATAAATATATAAATAAAATATACAGACAGATATATAAAATTTAATTAACTCTTGGTAATATATATATATATATATATAAAATGAAAATTAATTTAAAATTTTTTACTAAATTATTTATACAAGTTATATACAAAACATAAAAAAACCTAAAACATATAAAGCAATCAACCTTTTACTAAATTAAAAAAGTAAATAAATCCGGATCAATTTCCTCCAAATCACCATTTTCACTACTACTATGAACGGTTGAAGGTGAATCACAAACACATGGTAAATTTTCCTCGTTGTTATTGTTAGAGGTGATGGTTGTATTATTATCAATATTGATGAATTCGTTAAAATAATTGTCATCAATGTATGAAGAAGATGGGGGTAGTATTGGAGAAGCAATAGGAGTAGGAAGAGTTGGAGTGGTCCCAGGGGTAGGTAATATTAGTGAAGAAGAAGGAATGGTTGTATGATTATGTAACGATACCATTGGCTGTTTAAATTGGCTAAACTGATTGATTTGATTAATTGGAGTTGATGGCTTTATTTTTTAAAACAATTTTATAGTTATTATCGTAATAATAATAACAATTATTATTATTATTAATGTCCTTACTTTAACGATGGAGAATAATATTGATTGGAATTTTTCTCGAAAATGTCATTGACACTAAATAATTCCAATAATTTTGTTAAAGCAATTATCCTTAAATTTCCATTTTTTGCTTTTACGGCCAGATTTTTAATTGTGTCGTTGTAAAGGATTGACGAGTCGAATATGATCGCATTAATATCTGTATTAGTTGTTGTTTTTGTTTTTGTTGTATTTTTCTTCTCAATGTTTTTTTCAGCATCTTTTTCCCTTTTATTCTCATCTTCATTCTCATCTTCTTCACCATTTTCGTCTTCTTCTTCCTTATCCTCTTCTTTTAAAAAATAATCAATTGGAATTACTATGACATATTCCAATTGTAAAGTTGACTCTAATGTATCTTTAAGATGATTTGTTTTTTCGTCGATATCATAATCTTTAATTTTTGACAATGATGGTTTAATTATAGCGATTTTAACTGTTGATCTAGGATCTATATCGACAATAGGAGATAAAAGTTCTTTATCGTTTATGTAGCGTAATGGAATTGGTTGAATATCATTTTCACGATCATTCTCATCAACTATGGATTTTAAATTAAGTTTGATGTTAAATTTATAAGTTACTAGTTCATAAACTTCTTCCGCTTCATCTTTTGGTTTTTCCTCATGTTGTCGTTGTTGCAATTCTCCATCAGAAGATGGTGGGGACGAGATGGTTTTATGAAGTTCGAATTCACCATTAATACTTTGAACAAGTGTTTTAGAAAAATCTATCCCATATTCAAATTCATCAGCTGAATTTGTGGTTGAGTAAAGACCTTTAAATAATATTTTTATTTCGATTCTACGTATGCGAGTTTCTTAATCATAATGTATTGTTGAAACCACCAAGCCTATTTTACCGGTTCCAACTGTCAATTTTAAATTTTTTTATTAATTGGAAATTTTATAAATTGTTGATGATAATAATAGTATTATTTATTTACCAAACTACCTAATAGCCGAAGAAAAGTAAATTAAGTTAGTGTGCATGAGGAAATTTATTATTGAAAAAATAATAATATAATAATACATTTATAATTATTTGTTTAATGATTCCGATATCAGCATGAAAAATTGATTGATTTAACGGAATGTCGTAAATAAAATCAAATTCAACGTCCTTCTCTTCAAACAATAATTACATTCCTGCGTATTGCATAATATTTAATTGAATGATTTAATGGTAGTAATAATCACTGATTTCTTCGACAGATTTATAAAATCAAATCGTGACAATCTGATCCAAGAGCCATTATTAGATAATAATAATAATAATAAGATTATATATTAATTGTAGATATAATTTACCATCATGTTTCTAATCAGTAAAATAATAATAATAATAATAACTTTATAAATCAAACAAAATCAACAAATCAAATATTTTATTTACCACATTAGCAACGCATAAAATATGATTTGCCATATGAAGAACATTTGCAGAGACCTTCTGAACGGTGAGAATATATGCACGCTGAACACGACTCAGTTGACTAGAAAGTAAGATTTGTGCACTAGAAGAAATCCCATGAATTGGTGTTCTTATTTCTACCGTATCGAAGAAACAAAGCATAATTTTTATAGTGATGAAAAAGTTTTTATTGGAATAATTATAAAATTAAGTTTACCATGACTAATGACTCGTAAAAACATTGTTCTTTTCGTAGCTCGCAACCAAATAAATTGCATGCGTGCGTGTTTAATAAACATAATCGAATTAATTCTGACTTTTATTTAATTTTTTGTTTAAATATTAATTTATGTACATCCTGTGATATTCTTCTTTGATTATGTTTTTCGTCCGAAAGAGTTGCAACTAACGAGAATATAAAAGCTAAAACCATCAAATTTATCATGAATCGTGACACATATCCAAACCAAAATATCGCATCGAAATTTTTATGACGAAATTGCCTAACAATTAATCGATAATTGTATTAATATAAATTTATAATAAATATTCTTTTATTTAAAAAAAATATTATTATTTATTACCAAATGCAAATTAATCCAGAATAAAATATATAAATTGAAAAGGCTTTATAGTAACCAAATTTTCGATCTGCAAAGACGTAACTAATAAAAATACAATAACAAGTTTATTTTATATTTTCCCGGAAAATATGTATGTAACTTGTAAACTTTGAGTACCCCTCCCCATTCCTAAGCATATATTTGCTTTTTAAAGAAAATTATTACCTGAACGGGTGATCAAATATATTACGTCTTGCCCCGTTGTCATTGCTCCTAAATATTTTTTTAATAAAAGCCTTTAATGCGTAAAAATTTATAAACGATTTTTCAATAGAATTCAATTTGAAAATCAATAACGTCATAAATAAACACATTACTAGTGGCCTTACACAATTTAACGAAGAAATACATGAATTGTGAAGACAATATAACATTACTAATAAATATAAGATGATTGATTGATTGATTTTTGATTTTTCACACAAAAGAAAAAAGAAAAAGAAAATCCATACCGATATAAATTATAGGAATAAATCAAAAATATTTATTTGTGATAATACTTGAATATTTCCATAATAAAACAACGAGAGATGAGATTGTTTGCAGGAACATAATGATAATCATAACTTTGATTCGAAGTCTTTCACCAACTTGTGGTAACGTGTAACTAACAATCCTTTGAGTATTAACACCACCATCACTATCAAGTAACCTAATGAAAAATGAAAGAGAAGGGGCAGGCGGTTGTTGTCGTTCTTGGTCTTGTTGTTGTTGACTTTGTTGTTTTTGATGATGATTTTGCGAATTTAGCGAAAAATATTTCTCTACAATTCATTTTTTGAAAAATAAAATATTTTCCAGAGAAAAAATGGAAAATATGCCATCATATAAATAAATATATCAATCATGTTCTCTTTCCCAATAAAAATACAAATAATTTTTTATTACGCAATATTTATCTATTTTATCATCTG